CCCATTGATGGCTGCAATTGTGGCGGATGTTGCTGCTAAACAATTCAAGTTGCTATATATCCGTTTATAGAAATGAAAGTCTGACTAACCGCAAGTTGTGGAACAGCTATCACTATAGGTATCCTGGACTGAACCAAATCAGGTCCGGCAGGTACCGCTGGTGGGCGTACACATACCGAGATAACCGGATGCGAAGGTGAGCTCTGTGGTAAATTACAGTAGTTAACTTAAAAAAAGGCAGAAGTACTTAAAACTTACCGGCCTCTCATTACTGGCCTGTTGTTCAGCGAGTTTTTTCTTAGCCGCTTCTTGTGCTAATCTCTTCTCTTCCTAAAAAGGCTGGTTGAGAATCGCCATGACATCTTCCAACAGAATTTTTATAACATTTGAAGGTATGAAAAATGAGGTATGTAAAATGGATACTAGATAACAATCCTCTCCTTCCTCTAATTCCCCTCCTTGATATTCACCACAAAAAGCTGAAAACTAACCAGGTTTTTCACAATATCCCCAGGACAAGTCGTTGAGGCATATCGTACACCAAGCACGGATAGACGACTCTCTTGCGCCGGTGGTAAGCGACCGCTTGGTTCGAGCCATCGAGGATCTGAAAGAGCCTACCTGAGAAAAGAAATTAAGAAGGATCTATCAAAGCAAACCCACCAATAGGTCTTCTCTTCTCCTTATACTCATTTTGCTTAGCTGCTAGACTCTCAATGAGCCGTAACCTTCCAGTATACGATGCTTCACGTAAACGATCAGCATCATGTGCATACTGGAGATCTGTAGAGACACGGCCTTTGCGCAGGTGAACTATAATAAAGCACAAGACGGTTATCAAGCACAACACAACACTTGCACAAATTCTACATTAGACGCTGTTATCAGCAAAATTACAATAGGGAGAAAGCTAATAGATCGTTTCGAGCCAACTCACCAACTTCAGCTGGCGTCAGCGGAACTTTTCTGGGCTTTTTCGTCAGGGGATCGATGACCATCAGCTGACCGCTTTCGCGAGGTCTTACAACTAGCTGGTAACGGATAGAACATTGCCTCGGTGACCTGTGGACAAATTTACAAATGGTTGTCTCGCTTTATTAGCAGGTGAATCGCAGAAGTGGACTCTAATCAGTTTTCGATAGCGTCGGGTACTAGACCCCCAAGTACCGTAGCCTCACCCCTACCCTCCATTTCAAGCGCTGAGTCTTGAAAATGCGCTTCAAAACTCCACCACCAATGAAACTCACGCAATGGAGGCGGGGTTGGTGGAGTTTTGAAGACATTTTCAGGACTCAGCGCATAAACTGAAGGGGGGGGGGGGG